AAAAAAATTACTAAACATATATATATAAAAATACTATATAACTACACCAAAAACTCCCAATCACGATCCCAAGTGCATCCTAAGTCATTTAGTTGGTTGTGTTTGATGAGGAAACAGTATATACACAAGAATTGTATATTCAATTGAATTGAAAAAGTTCAAAGCGTCGTTGCATCAACCAACTAAAATAAACAAATTTGTTAATCAACTCAAAACAGGGCAGCATGGGAAAGGGCTTGAAATCACAAATCAGTTTATCACTCAAAACAAACAAAGTGCTCCTACTAATAATAATCGTTAGTATTATTAAATTGACATTGTTAGGTGGAAAGCCAAAAAAAAAAAAATCATTTTTGTTTCAATTTTCTTCTGTTGTCACAGATAGATAACTACTAATATATAATTCTCTTTTACATCAAACATATGCGATACAGGGAATGATTAGAAGGCAAGCAAGTTTACAGTTTTCCTCAATGACAATAATATATAAAATTGACAAACTCGATCAACTGAGTACAGTGGAGCCACATCAAAAGCATAAATTAAGTAGCTGCTTTTCTTATACATTAAGGGTGGCCAACATTCCAAACTTGAAAATAACGCTTGGGAGTTTGGCCAACATTCCAATTAAGGGTGTTCGTAGTTTGGATGAATTGGTTTTTGATACTTTTTTTATCTTATCTAATTTAATTAAATTCAAAAAATATTAAACTAATTCAATCTAATTAATACATTACAATCAAACCAATTTAACTGTTAATGGATTGGATTGATTGGTTTTGTCTTAAAAAAAAATCATTTATGAGACTTTGATTATACTGCTTTTTCTTTCATAAATTTCAATTATATAAAACAAAAACAAAATTGAATAAATTTTTAATAAATAAAAATATCATATAACACAATTTTAGAGTTAAGATAAATAAATGGTGAGAATAAAAGAAAGGAGAAAAATCCTTTTTTTTTTTGTAGCTAATTCTTCTAATATTAGATGGTTTATTTAATCACCAAATAAAATAAAATAAACTCAACTAATTTAATTGTTTATCTAAATGAATCTAATTAAATAATAATTTTAATCAATTTTTAATTAAATTAGTTTCAATTAATCGAATTGGTTCATATATAAATACCCCTA